GACACCGGCTTAATTTGACGGATCCCGGATGTCGTCACCAAGTGACAGGGACTTAGCTCCGGGGCAGGCGGCACACAGTGGATAGAGTCAAAATTTTGTGTTGGATATCTGATTATGTGCTTTCTCTTTGTGTGAACTCGAACAACCCTACCTCGATTTCGGTACGACAAGCTTATAAAATTAAACTGGACTCAAATTCTTCCTTTAACAACCTTGATTCTATTCATCTCCTTCCCAATGAAGATTTTATGGACTATTTGCGCACGAAATTCTATTGCTTCATCTGAGAGTGCCTAATAAGCTGAGTTCGCAGTATTTTTCATAATTTTTTTCGGATATGGGAAATTTGAGACAAATACATTTAAAAGTGAGAAAATCTGCCGCTTTATAACGTCATCTGGTGACATTTTCCATTCAAACACATATGTATATTTTAGCAAATTAGGTTATTTTGTCATATTTTCTCCAATAATTGTTCAATTTAGAAACCGAGGATATCCTCGTGCTCAGTTTTCCCAGCAGTTTCATTTCAATCATGATTACAAAATTTAAGACACCTGCAAATTCTCCATCAGAAAGGTGGGACATGAAATGTTGGACAATAACTGGAAATTTTTATGTTTATTTCATCACATTATAAATTTCAAGGGATGATTCCAAAGGAGAATTTCACAAGAAAACCAATGGAACCACTGTTAGAACCTCAAAGTTGTGTATAAACGGACTTAGAAGCGTTTAAAGTTTCCAAATTGTGTCCGACCTCACTCGATCCACTGTGCGGCAGGCCTTCGTGCATCTTCAGGATAGCTTCCTGACAGTGCGCTAAGCAAAGTTTCCTCTTATGCACCGCAGATTCGCAGCCCATGTGAATCTAAGTGAATCGGTTGTTTTCAAAAGGGAACAAGTCCATTTTTGCATGAGCCTTAGCTTGCATAAAAGGACATGGTAACCAAGACTCGTCGAGGAGTGGACGTGTCCCCTTTTGAAAACAACTGATTCAAGTGATCTACGGACGAGATTTACCACTACCTTGTGTTTCCTCAATGTTTGTGTCTGAAGCAACAATTGCACGACATTAACCAAGATTCGCACAACCTTATAAGACGTTGCAAAATTCTGATACATAATAGCATATTAATAACCGATCTCTATAATGGTTTTTCGATTCCCTCTTCAATTTGATTTATTATATTAATTTTAAAATTATTTTAATGCTGATGTTAGAAGAAAGTATAGCAAAGACCTTGAGAAAAAGAGAAAAGAAGCAGGCGGAACATATCGTCACCTTCCGGGCAAAGTATCACAAGCGCCATGCGACGTTTAAAAATTTCCGCCGCCATTTTATTTTTTTACAGAGAAATTTCTGGTCGAATTTGTCTGAAAATTTCACTGAATTTTATTGGCAGCACAAAGAAAATTCAGTGAAAGTTTTGGACAGCTTCGTTGAACAATTTCTCTGTAAAAAAATAAAATGGCGGCGGAAATTTTTAAACATCGCATGGCGCTTGTGATACTTTGCCCGGGAGGTGACGATATGAGAGAAAAATACCAGTAAAAATAAAAAATAAACAAAACAAAAAACGAAAAAAAAACAGAATAAAGCGAGAGAGAGAGAAAAAGAAAAATAATTTTACATCCTTGATCATTCTTTATTACAGTAGCTTAAAGCTACAATTGCTTGTTCTCCTTTGTTGCAGGTTATAAAAATGCTGGTGACGATAGTGATTTTATTCGCCTTATGCTGGCTTCCGTTGCAGCTATTCCTGCTGCTGTATTACTTTTATCCGGAAATTAGCGCGTACCGCACGGAGTCGGAGAAGAGGGTGTACGCGCTGTCATACTTCCTTTGCCACTGGCTGGCAAACGCCAACAGCTTCGTCAACCCCTTGGTCTACTGCTTTATGAGTGATAATTTCAGGGTGAGTCCAAGTTTTCTCTCCTTGCAAACTCAGAAGAAACTTAAAGAGACCGCTCCAGGGACAGCGTCATTTTAATAAAAGTTTCCAACTTTCATTCACCGTCAGAAATTAGAGCCACTTAAGTTCCTCCGGGAGCTGTCCTTCTCTTTTGACATTATCTCTCCAAAAAGTAGCCGACGATCTTTCAAAGTAGAGGATCGAAGTGCCAGCAGCAGAATAAGACTTTTCTCCATTGTGAAAATGTGGAAAGTTTAGTCACGGCACTCTCTTTGCCGAGTAAATACTGAAAAGCTCTGTTGCACACGAGAAAAAGAGGAAACAACAAATCAAAATTTACAAATTATATGATTTTCCATTGATGCGCATAGACGCGTGATATTCGCGCCTACAAGACTGCAGGAATACTTCACGCATTGCGCCAATCACAGTGCGGTCGCAGGTCGTGACGAAAAGCATATTAGCGCCTACAATGCTGTTTGAATACCTCACGCATTGCGCCAAACACAGTGCGGTCGCAGGTCGTGACGAAAAGCATATTAGCGCCTACAAGAGTGCAGGAATACTTTACGCATTCCCTAGTAGCATGATTCACTTTCCCCATCCTAACAAACGTATAAGGAATTAATACCGGTTATATAATCACCATTTTAACTAAAGTTTATATATCGTGTATATAAGTTTTATATAAAATGCCCATGAAAATAATTATTCATATTTTCAGAAGATAACGTTTATATAAAATTTATATAATTGAGGAAGGGTTTTTATAAATTTTCTTTATACGCATAGTATCCTTTTGCTTAATTTGCTTATTATAACTGTTATATAAATGACCTGAATGACTTTAACGTAAACCTATCTCATTTTCATGAATGATGATGATGATCTCATTTCAATGAACACCCTCGACTCTCAGACTGCGTGGGATAGGTATTATTAGAGGTACTAATGGCTCCGAGACGAGTTAAAAGGGGATATCTCGGCACACAATCCGAGGAGCCCTGTTACCTCAGTTGGTAGCGTGTCTGGCTCATAACCCTGCCCAGTTAGACAGCAATATTTTAAAAATATTGAAATTTAATATATTTTTAAAATGTTTTTCATGTATTTTTAAAATATTTTCAAAAGTACTTTTGAAATACAATCAATGAATATTTTTAAAACATTTTAAAAATATATTAAAAATATAAAAAATTAAAATTTTTAAAATAATATTTTATAATATTTTTAAAGTATATCATAATTATTTTTGTTAATATTTTAAAAATATTATTAAATATTATTTTACAAATTTTGTTTTTTTTTTAAAATGTTTAAATTAATATTATAAAAATTTAAAAGAAAAAAGGAAATGATAATAATAATAAATAAATAACATAAATACATCGACATAAATTCAAACTAGAAAAAGGCCCAAATAATTAAAACTGGAAAAAGACGCAATTATAAAGTTAAAAAATAGAGAGAGAGAGAGAGAGAGAGTTAAAAAAATGAGAGTTAAAAAAAATAGAGAGAGTTAGAAAAAATGATAGTTAAAAATCATGATAGTTAAAAAAAAGAGAGAGCTAAAAAAATGAGAGAGAGTTAAAAAAAAATGAAAATGAAAAATTACATCATGAAATAAAAAACAATAAATAAATAAATAATAAATAATAAAGTCTGGTAAAATATCATAAAAATCCGTCAATAAACAAAATATTACGAACTCAGAGGCCTGCGATAGTTAAGAGATTGAATTTAGGGGCTCATTCATATCAAGCCTGGCTGGTCTGGTGGTAAAGTACTGGACTTCGGATTGCAACTCCATCCCGAAGCGTGGGTTCTAATCCCGACTAGGACGGCGCGGGTTTAAGGTAAGTCACAGCTCTACGATGATCCACCTCCTGGTAGTAACGCATATGAAAACTTGCACACTTCATAACTAGAGTGCGCTACCAGCCAGGAAGAATAATGAAATTTCATTTTATACACTCTTTGAATTTGGTTGTATAACTTTTATACTAAGGGTTACATAATAAAATAAGTTTTTTAGTAAACTTTTAACTAAAAAACTTTACATCCATTACATAAACAATGAATATTCTTTAGCTTGTGGTTATTTACGGTTTATACTTTTAAAAACAAATTTTTTATATAACTCTGCTACTAGGGTTGCGCCAAACATAGTGCGGTCGCGGGTCGTGACGAAAAGCATATTAGCGCCTACAAGAGTGCAGGAATACCTCACGCATTGCGCCAAACACAGTGCGGTCGCTGGTCGACGTGAAAAACATACATATAAAAAATTCTACGAAAACTGTTCAATTTGACCTCCAACAAACAAAAAATTCAATTAGGTTATTTTGGATCGAGGGTTTGTTATCGTAGTTAAGTATTGTATTAGACTTAAACATTTATTACGGGTACCTTATTTTATCGGCTCCCTCCCCTCCTCCGTATCACACACAAAATATCCTATGCGGCGTGATGGTCATGAAAGATTTAAACAAAAATGACAGGTGTACTCAACAGCAAGGAAGCACAATCTCAAAAGTCGGCACACGTGCAATTGGTAGTAAAAACTATAAAGTGGGCACAATCATTTTTCAGTACATCATACGCTTCAAAAATAAAAGTAGTGACGGTTTTGACACACAAAAAAGTTTAATTGAGTAACTTTGCGTTTTAAATGCTTCCAGAATCTTCCAAATTCCGGCAAAGACTGCTGTGCGATCATATTCTGATGTGAACACTTCACTCAACAAAGTAGAGCATCTCATAGCGGATTTGACGAACAAAAACACCTGTGACGGTTTTTAGGTCGGAACTCCATGACAGCGGGAGGAAAACGCATTTTTTATTAATAAAATGCATAGATAATTTAATTACAAGTGTTTTTGACGAAATCAGTACACAAATTGAAACAATTTGTTAAGCCAAAAAAAAGTTATGAGGCTGTAAACGTTGTAACCTGCCAATCATGATAGCAACGGTCGTGGAATATCAAGCAGTAAAAGCTGAAAATGACGCTTAACACATCAACTTACACGTGTAAGATGAAATGTAAGATTATTTTCCGCACATTTTACAACTAAAATGTTCATGACTGAAATTGAATCAGTGGGTTCGAAAACACACCAACTCGGGTTTTTTTCGATTTTCACTTTTTTACGGTCTAGTAACTCTTATGGATAGAAGCATCTGCACGCAAAATGAAATTTCGAAATTGCAATCGGAAGTGCTCGAAACAGCGACGGGAAAAGGGGAAAAATCGAAGTATTTCATTGGAAATACCAATTTTTGGCCATTTCAAGGGAATTTTGCGGTATTCTTTTTTCGGTTCAGTATACCTTGTGCCAACAAGTTATATAAATATTCAAGCGTCATTCAGGTCAAAAAAGATACATTTTTCAGGGCATACTTAACCGTAAAAAAAACCGCAATAAAAAGAAACCGCATAAAAAATCAGTATATGAAAGTCGGCGAGAATGAAAACACACCAACTCCGAAATTTTTAAACGCTTAATTCTCTGTCATCAAACATGGTGTATCGATTTCAACTCGGTGCTTTAAAAAGTCTCTCAGTACTTGTACTTTGGCACCAAAAAGGTTTTTCTTAAACTAACTTCTTCGCCCGCTGCGCAGTTTTAGGTGTTTCCTGAACAATTTTTTTTTTTTTTTTTTTTTTTTTCTGAGTTGGCGTGTTTTCGAACTCACTAATTCAATTGGACAGTGTCCGTAGAATTGCCTCTTATTAGCGCCTACAAGACTGTAGGAATACTTCCCGCATTGCGCGTTCACTACAGTGCGCGCTTCAATTGTTCAAAATTCGTAATACCTCGGTGCCGTACCTACCGCGCGCGGTCCACGCCATCTCCAACTAATGAGCCTCCCGCGTCTGCAATCTTAGGATCGAAGGATTGTAGAGATTTTGCATCCCTGAATGGTAAATTTTTATTGAGTGATTGATTGATTTCGAAGCTCGTCCGTCTTTTTTTAATCGATTATCCTCAAATTGAGAACCTTTCTACAGCGAAGAAATCAGCCAGTCCCTTGAGTTCTCGTTATAGAGATGGATTATTCTATTTTTATTTTCCTCTTCTTTATAATCGCACCCATCAGTAATGCACGAGAAGCATTCAGATAATGCAAATGTGAATGTTTAAATTACTATTTAATGATGAATAGTTTTTTATATATGGACGAATGGCCGTATTTCTGTCGAACGGGACTAAGCGCCAATTTGAGTTCCTTTTGAGGAATTTAGAATGCTGGATAGCGCGTTCTGTCAAACAGAACTAAACGCCATGGAAAAGCATTGCGAGTATAGGACGGGACGAGCCCGGCGGCGTCCGGTTCCGCCGCCAATCCAAGCCCCCCTCTACCCTCCTCCCCGTGGCGCTTAGTTCCGTTCAACAGAAATACATCCATATTACATGTTTTGGAACAGAGATAAGTCAAATGTACTTTTACTAATTCTAGAGTAACTACGACCAATTACATTCAAGGTATTTTTATCATCGGGAAAAATATTCACCGATAAACTCAGATCATTGTGTGTGTCAGAACAGAATAATTTGTCATTCATACTTCAAATGAACTGTAATTCCGTGGCGCTTCTCAGAATAGCCTTTTGTGGCGAGGATAATGCCGTATTGATAGGAGCCGCCGGTGTTCTAACTCCTGACTGAATTGAATGCTCGGGGTCAATTAACCCTGAGCAGTCGAGGGATGCTGAAACATTCTTTCGAACGTAAACATCCCTTAATTAGAGAGACCTAGATTCATTTGAGCAATGCGGAATTTTAAATGAGTTTCCAACGCGCGAACACTACGTTGCGCTTGTGATTCTGCGAATAGGGGATGATTTGATTCAGTTGTCTTTGTGGACAAAAGCCCTGAGGTGATTCATAAATAAAGTTCATGTACTGTGCGCCTCGTCAATATTTATTTTATCAGGCAGGAGACAAAGGTAAATAGAGACGATGCACGCGGTGCGATTGCGATAGGCATATTCCTAG